GTGGGATTTGAACACACTACCTCAGGAGTGATAATTTAGTGACGTTACCACCGGGCCACTACCAATAAGCAAAATCTTCAGTTCATTCAGTCAGCCATACGTCCGGGAAGAACTAGACTATACATTCGTTCTCATTAGAGTTCATCAGTGTAGCACATTCATCGTCTCGTTTGGGATTTGAGCTCCGAACCCATCGAATGGAAGTTGTGTGTGTGCTTGTGCGTGGATGATCATTCCCCATCAATATAACTTATTACCCCGCTATTCACAAGAAACTGGGGCCTCAATACGAATTTGATTACTGACAATATAACTGCCTGCATCATGCCATTAGAAATAAACAGGAAACAACCTCTTGACCTCCACGGTAATCGTTTGCTTTTTTACAACATTCATCATTTCAGACACTAACCGAGGAGCACTTCAAAGAATCCGATCAGGCAGAGCAATCACAGTTTTGTCGTCCACTTAATTTACTACCACGGATCTTTCGTAGTCTGAGACGTAGTAAAACCATGGAGAGTCAAAAGCGGGAAACTTCGCCCAGACCAGCACTGGTCAATAACTCAGTTTTCTCCACACCAAGCTCACTGAGACAATCACCACGGGATCGGTCTCGTAGCCCGCAACGTACAGTTCACTATGACTGTGAGGAAAAAGCTATGGAAGAATCTCCTGTAAATCGCAGTTTAATGAATCCTCATTATCGACCGTTGTCCGCGTCCCGGACGCCTACTTCGACAGAAAGCCGAATGACGATTCATGAATTTGACCATACTATGTCCAACTGGTCCCTCGCTCCGTCTGGGATGATAAGCGCGCCGTTAGGTCGAACCTCCTTTCGCACACCCCCTCTTCAAGTGCCTCGTCGGTTCACATCTAACACCATAGAGAGTAGGCGTATGGTAGCTCCATGGACAAAGGCCCCACCACGTCCCCCCATGCCCAAAAGAGCTGGTTCTCATGATGTGGATCGATTGCAAAGTACAACGACTACAAATCGAAGATCTGAGATGGTGTATCGGCCAACAGAGCCGGCAAGAAACCAAACCATTTACGAAGAGCAGCATCTTCACAAGTTGAATCATAATGAACCCTCAGAAGACACAATCAAAGAGCAAGAGATAGAAGATTCTTTAAACACGACTGTTGCATCTAATGGTGGTAGTCCATTTGACCCAAGGCGTGGTGATGACTCAGGACTAACAGAACTGGAGCGCGTGTGGGCACGCAAACGTATGACCAAGATTCGAACAGTACGACAGACTATACTACCTGAAAAGCATAAATCTGAGCATAATAATCACCTCCCTGTGCGTGATTATGACAGTCCGGCAGAGTTGACTACCACAGGTTCAGAAGAGTCAAAAATGCGAGATCACGTTGAGACGAATGGCAACGATGGATTCCAAAATATCTCACGTAAAAGTAGCTCGCCACTGGCCATTCTTGATCTGCAAAATATGAGCAAACTTCAAACTCTGAAATTAACAGAATCATCAATTCAGGAATCTAATCAGCGGAACACTCCGTCAAAGGGGTCAACAGAAGTGAGTCCAAATAAAAAAGTGTAACTATATTACTTGATCAAGGGTTTTGCTAATTCAGCGAAGCAATTTAACACTGCCTTGGGAAGCTTCAAGCTAGTTTGTGTAGAATAATCTCTAGAGGATTATGTCAGCCTGCTGACCAAGCAAATGTGCTACTTATTGAGGGAATGAAGAACAGTTTATTTGTAATGATCAATCTGGCCTTAGGTTATATTACTTTTATTTGTTTATATAAGATCAGCATACAGGTGTATACATCCAGAATACCTTTGAACAGAACATTGTAATTATACGATGTTCCCCATTTTGTTTGCCAGTTATTGATCAACCTATTATAAATTATTCTTATTTAACCTAGAGTAGGATCACTTAACCAATACGCTCATGCGCATCAAATCCTTCATTACTCACTTTCATACACACTTCCGGGAGCCACATTGCTAAAAAGTAAATTAGTAAAATGGTTCGGAATCATCTTTCTGCATTCCTTTCTTCTTTCAATACAGTTCAGAAAAGTATCTATTGAAATGAGTCAGACTGGAGCACAGGAGCAAGAAACTCCGCCAAATATTGTGCCTTGTCAGTATTCCGCTTCGATTCGCCCGGTTGTGACAGGACTGCGCAACGAACATATGGATCACCACGTCAGTACTATTTTTCATGATGTTCATGCCTACTCACGAGTAGCAAAATTGTCAGGTGTATTTTATTAATCTATCATTACACGCTAAACGTCACTGATTTCATCTTACACGTTTGTAGATTCCCAGTATGATTATTTCTTTCATATATATATATATATATATATATATATATATATATATATATATATAATGGTCGCTGAAACTGAATGTTATCCATTCAAATAACTACCATTTTATTTCCTGAATCGTTTGCTTGGCTTGATGCAATTGACAGTTCTCATGTGGTCTGACTTTATCTGTATCACACCAACTTCGATTGCTTTGTAAGTTGCTTTGTTTTTCCCAGTTGATCCTCGATTTCCCTGCAACAGGCATATGCAGACATATGCAACGCCTATTGATATACTCAGTGTTTTATCTTCTATTAGATGGGGAAAACTTGAGTTGAGTGGATAGATTTTGAGCTAGTAGAAGTCACGTTGCAATTTGGGGGTAAAAGACCAGATTCAAATTACTTTACTAGATTCATTTTCCTCTTCTTCTTCTAGGGCTCACTCGAGAAACTACAAAGGCCTCCTATTTCCTCTACCAAATCAGAAAACGTGGGGTGTGAAATCAAGGGTTTGATGATTAAAGCTGTGATTTCTCATGAGGAAACCACTGTGTCTACAGAGAATATCACCCAAACGAAGGAAGCCATAAGTAAAGGTGAGTGACATTCACATTATCTACGGTTAAAGCAGAAATCCTTTTTGCACTTTTTATATCGTTCGCCTGGATGGTGTGTGGGATTAATTACATAAGATCATTTATCTGAGAATATACCACATACCCAAATGTGAGACTCAATCGGACTTGAATTCAAATAAAACAAGTACACTGATCAATAGATGCATGAAACTAGTGGTTGTCCTATACAAATCGTTAATGTTTTGTGGAAAGGCAAAACCGAAAACTGAAAAATGATAGTTTGAGGCTGAATACTGCTGAAAGACGCAGATATCGTACGTGATGGAGTAACTCATCGGAACAGAAAATAATGCGCCGAGGGCATGGAGTTTTACAAGATCAAGCGTATCAATGAAAACCGTCATTTAATATGCACTGCAGGTGTACGGAAGACTACAGCAAACCTAACCGCACTCCGTGTAAAGCAAATTTGAGCTTTTTCACATGTGGTGGCATTCTATTTAAGTTAAAAGCAACGTGATCCGTAAAGCAAAGTCATTTCAGAACGTGCTATCGACAACACATAATCATGCGTATTCCGAGGGCATTGTGACTCTACTGATGGTTGAGGCGTTGACTGCACTGTCTACAGCGTTATTGATTAATTGTCCAATAATGGCTACTAATGCACGTACACGCACACACTTTACGCTTATTTAGGTCATGCGAACATCGATAAACTTCAGCCAATCAAGCTTCAACATTGAGTTGTCCTCGCTGATTGATTGGTTACCCGCTTCAGTGACCGCACCCTGACCGTCAATATCTGGCCTACCTGCCTACCTTGTTTACGTGTTTGTGCACGGATGTATCCATTTGCGCCCACTAATAAATGAAGTTACCTGCTTACTGGATTTTCCCGTCTTTAAGTACACAATGGAAGAACAAGAAACGCGGTTGAAAGGAACAGCGAGCGCTACAATATCCCGACCCCATGGTTCATTCAGTGACAATCGGTCAACAGCATTTTCAGGGCCGTAGTTGATGACCCAGGCGAGTGTGTTTCTGTATAGTGTGAGATACTCAACCCAAGTTGAGTAGCTGTTTTGTTCATCCCATGAGGGCTGTGTTGTTGGCAAGTATATTTTGAGGAAGAGGAGATTGTGAAGAATTCACCGTCAAATGCAATGTTAAGCTAGAAATATTGTCGTACTCAAAACAGACTGCAAAAATATCGGTTTATTTATTCATGAAATATTCCATTATATTTGGTCGGTCCCGAATAAAAAAACAAAATAGGAAACTAGAGAGAGAAAATGTTGCATTGCAACAATCCAAAATTTGTAGGAGGGGGAACGTTGTAAGAAGTTAACCCGAATGTGCCACTTAAGTAGTCTAGTAACCATACTGATAACGGCGTGGATTGTATAGCAACCTGTATTGAAGTGAATACATGGAACCTATCACTTTAATTTCAGACAATACCTTAAGTAAGGAAGCACATACTGACTCCCTTGCAAGAAATATCACGTGTAGACAAAGCTAAGTGGACGAGATGGGTGATGGCACTAAAAGTAGTGCTTTTACTTCGGCACGCAAACTGTTTTTGTCTTTCATAAGAGTGGATGTGTGTTTATTCTGGGTAGAATGAGTCCAAGGTCTTACATACAGTACATGTGCAAACAACGAGAAAGCAGTTGTAAACTTCGTTTTCATAGGTAGTGATAATGTACTGAGTTCTCTGAATATCTGCCATTGTCCTTGCATGAATACATCTGTTGAACAGTCAAGTAGGAAGACTGGATTGTTCGTCTGCATGTTTTTCGGGACCCACGATTAGAGTCAATTGGATCCTGGTGCTTTATTAGCTCAACGATGTTCCAGTTATGCCAGTACTTGACCGCGGATATCAAATCGTATATTTCAAAGTGGTTTATTTCAGTTGTCGGGTTATGACAGGACGCATTTCATGTCGATGTAACATTGAACATGGGATTCCGGTTTTCCCTAGGAGGCAGTACACACGAGATTTGTAGTTCACAAAGCAGAGTTTCTTCAAATGAAGGTAACAAGAACAGATTTATTTTTTATTACTTCTCATCTGGCCGTCACAGTAAACAGCGACAGATAGGAACACGACTTAGTATAACCAATGTTAGTGAGTTTTGTGCATTTATTGTGGTGTTTGATTTGGGGGACTGTGTCCGGTTAGAACAGTCACAGATGACTCAGATTGGTGTGTCAGTCCTACGGTCATACTGACCGTAGACCAAAGTAGCAGTAAGGTCCTAGCAAACTGATTCTCCGAACACAATAATAATGTGGTCAGGGAGATAGCGATCGCTTGGGATGCGGGCAGGATTCTGTGTTTCGCCAGTTTTGATCGATTGCAAGCCACCAAATAAATGATCGAGGATGCCCCCTTTTGCGCGTCGTAATGTGTCGAATGTGCGGGTTGGAATGGCATCAGTCTCACTCTTATTGAATCCTTTTGATAGCCAAATAAGATTGATCAGGAGATCCATCCTTGGGTTGGAACTGCAGTACAGGCTCTGTAATAAAGGAAAGGCAGCTTAGTAGTAAAGTACGTTTTGTCATTAGTGTAGGATAGCCGACGATTAGACGTTTCAGCTAATGTACATCTTTTAAAAACAACCAGTATATGGACAATTTTCTAAGGTGACCGGGAACCCGTCCTAACGCGTCTTTTATGATGCTTTCTGGATGTCCTTTTTCCCTTTAGGTGTTGCCTATAAGCAATATAACTGAAAGCTTGTTGGCTGAGCAGATTTGACGGGATGTATCAACCAAACAGTACAACAAATTTAGTTTTTGTTGCCTAGACAGGAAACTCTGGAAATGGCTGTATTGTACATCTCACGTGGGTTTGTGATAGACAATTCATTTGAATCCCTGTTTAATTTTCTTTCTAGACTCCCAGCAAGGAAGGTATGTGAATGAGCATCTTCTCCGTGGTGACAGGGAGAGAATTCAGCAGGCTGTGGTAAATCTTTCTTCGGATAAACTGGGGGAGTTAAGCTAACCGTTGAGCAATCCAGTGGTAGAGTAGACTGGACATATTAATAAACGATCGCATCGGAAAGTTCGCTTGGGTATTTTGGTTAATCCACAAAGTCTCAGAATGATACATCTTTTTGATCTGATTGGTTGAAGTGCTATTACGTTTATCACAGTTTATTTAATCCATTCGGACACAATCCCCAACATCAGTCATGATAATGACTGAACAAACACTCAAACTACGCGTTATTAAGCCACATTTTGCTGTACTGTGATAACCTGATGTAAAGTACTAAAGCAGGTCTGTGTTTGCTACTATCACACGTCTCTGGCAGAACGATTAGTATTAGTGTTAATATTATTCCTTGGCTGGTGATAAGTGAGCATCTTGATCAGAGCATTGGCGTATACCGAATTCAGCTCCGATCAGTGTCAATATTCGCATCACCAGCCTGTTAGTTGTGTCGCCTGAGACATTTTGAACGAAACCAAATCTAGTCTAACGGTATGATCTGGAGGGTTACCAGGTGTCATAATACATGTTAGCGCAGTCGGTCGCTCGATCACACTGAACTAATTCGACTCAATGATAGCAGTCATGTCTCTCCGGAGAGAGAAGATTATCGGGGTGGAATGTTTTCTGGAAGAGTCTGCTTGTGAAGCAGTTGTGTGCATCCAATGGTATAACTTACAATTAATCTTTGGCAGGATCTTGATTTCATGAAGATTGTCTTTTTGCATGGGAAGTAATTTTGTATCACTAATAAACATACACAAACAAACAATGCAATGGTTTTGTGTGTCACAGTGTCCTTAATCCGAGAAAAGACGAAAAAGCAACATCAGGTCCAATAAAATTTGCGAAAGTAATGCAAAGAGAAAAATCAATGTGAGAAATGCATTCGCCAATTCTGAAGTTTCAGATGTTGAACCTAAAGATGAAATGCGGGTGTTAGATTGCTCAAAATCAAGAAATGTGATAGGGCAACTTGGTTTTCCTCCATTCGCAATGCGTGATATTCTCAGGCACCACTACACTTTCAACGAAAGATGTGTAATCTAATCGCATTTGTGGTTCCATTCTTTCTATTGGCCCCCCTCATCTTTCCCGAAAAGTTTTGTAAATTTTTCTATTCACTAAAGAAGAAAAATAAGTGGAAAGAAAAGAAGAGGGAGCCAGCCGTACTATCTTCATTTCTCAAGTTTTTATTAGAATAACTCTGTGTGGTTATTTCATTAATTCTATTTACACTAGTTCAGATGCAAATGGTTTCGTAGCGATTTTTTTATTTCTTACTGAATACACGGTCAAACTGATCACTTTGATTGTTTAATACAGGAAGGGTGGAAATTGTGCTGGTGTCTATCGTGATAACAGAGCAAAAAAAATATAATCTGCAAGCCGCACACTAACTGTATGTGTATCTGGATACTGACGATACTCAAATCCATCGATTATGATCCATCGGTGTCAGTGGAGCGTGGAACAAAACGGATATTCAGTGAGCGGGGGGGGGAGAGAAAGAAAAGACGTTTCAGTTTCACAAAAAAGACCATATCGCACGACCATATTGCACGACTTATGTCTGGAACGATTTCGCGACATCTCCACATGGTACATACTGCAGAAAAAAATGATTTAACAATGATTTGAAATCGATCTCTAGAAAAGCTTGCTTTCGGTATTTAAATGTACGTGCTACGCGACCGACCATGATGGGTTTAGGGATTTAGGCTACTGATGAACGTCATAACACCGTAGTAACCTATCCCCGACCAGCGATTCAACATGAGGTTGACGAATCTTCGTGTTGAATAGTCGTTATCCAAGCATCAATATGACATTTGAACAGTACGTAAGCCCGACAGCTTTGATGAGACCAACTTCCTGGATGAAAGTTCGCATTTATTAGCGAGACATGTTGGAATGATTCTGAGGCATTCTGATTTGATACCGAATACCTTGATTTATAAAAGGTGCAGATTTTAGTTTATGATATAAGGAAGCCGCGGGAACTGCAGAAATACTATTTATCAGAGAAAGTGGGCACTTTGTGACAGATAACAAGGTTTTAGTGGAATATAATTGAAAAATGAACCATGGGGATGAGTATGTTTTTCATTACACCCAAGACACCATTACCACCCAGCCCGATTTCCTTGAGGATTCCGCGTTTTATTTGTTTTCTTTTGCATGATACTATGCAATTCAATTTTTAAATGAATTTCTAGGAGAAAACCGGTAGGATAAAGAATATTCGTAAACTCCTGGGTGTACGAGATCATTTGACAGGCACGAGCATTGCATGTAAACACATAGATCATACGAAAGATTATCGAAACTGCGGACTCCAACTGGAATACGAGCACACGTAACACTAATAATTTGGTTGTTGGTTGGTTATTGGGTATCTAAATCAATCAAAGAAAGTATCGTGTTTATCAGAACACTGGGGATAAGCATTCGGGTAAAACAACCGAGATGACTTAATTTGCCACAAGAAAACGAGCCTCGTTTGAGGCGCCAGATTAACAATTCCGTGGTTCGGGTTTTGAAACGTAGTGAATTTGATAGATATACACTACTGATAACTCCTTAAAAAGATGAAAAGTTATGCATGGTTGTCAACGCTTCTCACTTCTGAGTAACCGATTGATTTTTCATGAGTAGTATGCTTTTGTAAATAAAATATCAATGGATGATTGGGTATTAGGAAAAAATAAAACGATTCATTAATAATAAAATTTTTGAATATGCACGATATAGCACAACTCGCAACAAGCTCGCATAGATGAGCTGTGCTATATTGTGTATATTCAAAATGAGAAACGGTCGGATCAGCTGCCCGGTGACCAAATGGGTAGTATGTCTGCGTTCTACCCTTAAGGCCCCGGGTTTGAACCCAAGTTGGGTTGATAGATTCGCACTGCTGATGAGACCCAACCAGGTCGAAATAGCTGTCCAGTGCTTCCTAAAATTTTAGCTCTCGTCTCATTTACACCACAAATTCATCATCTAATCAAATCAAATCCTCCATTCCCTTCATATAGTAAAAGTTTTATCTATACAAGATGAAGATTCCTTATTCCAAAGTATTTCGATTTCGTTTTCCTCCAGATAAAACGGATATCAAACAACCGACTGATCGATATTCACGATCGTTAGAGCAGAGAAATTTCCTCTCTCAAGAAGTCAGTCTCAAACCGACTGGTGAGACATCAAAGGAGCCAAATTCAAACATCGTTGCTGTTTCAACGGAGAAGATGATGACTCTAACCACACATCTGCAGACTGCGCCAGACTCAAGAGCAGTGAGTATGTCGAAGTTGACAATTGCTTTGCCCGATATACAGCGACCGAACTCAACCGCATTCAACATGAATGAAATCAAAATCCCTCGACCCATGACCACAACCGCGGTCACAGCTCCAACAAGTACGACTACCACCACCGGTACTACCACCACTCCGACCCCCGTCTTGATGAATCCTGGTACGGGCAGGCTATCAGCCCTGACACCAATGGCAACTATTGTCGAATCTACAACAAGAACAACAACAACAACAACTGCATCCAAAACAATTAAACGTAGTCCACCCGAGCTGATGGAAAAACCCAAGTTGCACCTCTCCAATGGTGCAATACCAAATCAAACACATGTCACTGATCTACAACTGATTAAACCACAACCGAGACCTGAGTTATCATATTCCGACGGGAAAATGAACTTGGCAGTTACAGATCGTCTGTCCGCTTCCGCGGGCGGAAACAAAGTCCAGACTGTTTGGTCCTCATCTCAGACCAAAGAACCGGTGTTCGAAACGATGCAACGACCACCATATCCAACTTTGTTTGACATTTTGCATCATTGTAATATCTTACGTGTGGTTCTGGATCCAAACATCCCCAGCCAGAGTAAACAGCTTGGATTGCACCTGGGTTTATCCAAATTCCCCTTGGACGATATTCAACGGGCAAGCAGTATTCAACGCCTACAACAACAACAGCAGCAGTCAGCTAACACAGGATCAAAGGACACTCTGAATTCGGTTGGAAGTGAGAGTCAATACGGACCAAAGGGTCCTAAACCTCGGATCAGACCACGTGAAGGTAGTGCATTTCGCGCAGTCGAGTATCGTCGACTGGAAGATGCCCCCGATATAGTTACCATTGAACGAGTAGATCCTGACTCACCGGCAGCTATTGAAGGCGGGCTGACTGCAGGCACCTTGCTGTTGGAGATCAATGGTAAAACTCTGCTACCAACAGCTGATTCGGATGACCTATCGACTTCTTCCATCGGTTTGTTAAGATTAGCTGTCGAACAGCTCCAGGCAGCAAGCCAGGCCGGACGTCTGGGTGAGGCGGCATTAGTAAGGATCACAGCGGCCAGGTATCATAATCGATTCGGTGTGGAGAACAAGGTAGATACCCCGGAAAGAATCTCTTTGGCAAATCGGCGATTTATCATTGGCAAAGCAATGAATGATACGGAATTGGAGGATCAAATATTGTCTTGGAGGAAGACACCAAGTTCTATTATCAGTTCAGATGCAGCTTCATTACGAAGTGTAAGTGTTTTCTTTGAGCCAGTCATGAATTATCGTACTAGCCTACAAGTTTATTTCGGGTCATACCCGTCAATAAAAATCAATGCATTTCGTACTTCATTCAATTTGAGGTAATGGATACTAATTTTCGGTATTCCTCATTTAAATTGAGGCGACATCTCATGAATTTCAAATACTGTGTAGATTACTTTAGAACTAAAAGGATTTTTCTTAGAAAAATTACCACTTCCTGGTTAGCTGACTTTTTGGTCCCAATTTGTCTAACGTGATCGACAAACCTTCCACATCTGACGGGTCACTCTTCACGTTGTGGTCACGCATGGTCTTGTTTCCTTTCTGTTCTCGGTTTAATAATGTAAAGATAATTCTGCATTCATATTCATGAGCAAGGGAGATCACTAAGTTGGGTCTGAGAGGTCGCATTACACGTTGTTTCCCTTGATTTCGTCGAGCGTGAACCAAACCAAAGTTCTGCGTTTTCTTTCAGTGCTAACGGAGCTTGGTCACACATCACAGTTGTTAGACACAGTCGGTCTCATCATAGAATGCTAGTCCCTAAATTGAGTGAACTTCGTCACATCTCCTGAACACACTCGTATTTTCTATCTCATCCGATTTGTCTCAAAAATATGAAATCCGTATTTACCAGGTCACAAGTTAACTGGGAAAAGAAAAGAAAATTCGAAAAACAAAGGGATATTTATATCCCCTCAAGTGTATTTGCTCGCCTAATTTGCACCGAATGATCTTTGCTAATGGTGACATAAACAAAACCTCATTATTATTTGAAAGTACCATGGGAACCCATGACAACAGAAACAATAAAAGTGAGAGGACTGACTAACACGGGCTTTAGAATGATACTACCATGAAAATTCCTATGGACACAATAGACGTGCAAATATACCTTGTGTTAGGTGGATTAAAGATGAATATTTCGAGGTGGGATGGTAACTGGCGACCATATTGTTGTACTGCGACAAGAAAAACAACAAGTAACATTCAGCTCAAAATCACTTCTGATAATTTATGGTGATTGGGACAAGAGGAACACATGTCTTTCATGCGGTAAGTCCGGAGTTCAAAGTTCGGACGACACGATGTATATACCCTTCTTATGAGCTTAACGGAGAGCAAAGCTCAAAACTAAAGCCTACGAACGTATGGTTGACTGAATGACCTGAGGGTTGTGCCCGAAAAAAGTTGGAACCAGAAACAATAGTATCAACAACGTGGCAGATCGATAAGTCTACATATGTCGGGAAAGTCAGTGCACACGTTAAACCCGAAGTTCAAGATTTTTTTGAGGGAAAACCGTATTGACACGAATTGTGCCAAATATATAGAAAAAACTGCAGTAGAGTGATAAGCCCAATAAAAGAGAAATCAAGAAACAATGAATGCAGTGGACAATATTCGTGTTCCCATGATTTTATAGTCCAATTAGCCCATTCAATTTTCTTACGAACTATAGACATATTACTGTCGGTCTCACCTCTCGAGAGTTCATTTATTCCTCATATGTTCACCAGATTTTAGTTGGAGTGATAGAAATGGATGATGACGGACAAAAATCAATAGGGAGCTACTTTACTCTTGAATATATTCTTAGTAATTTATCCATCTTCTGATACTGCCGGGACCCGTCCCCAGAAACCTTGGCGTTTGAATTAGAAAACTTTTGGCTAACGCAATGCGGCTGACAAGCACAGTCTCAATGAGAAAAATACCACTGCCTACCGCCTGTGAAAAAAGCGATACAACCGTAAAATAACTCATTGATGTATTGATCATTCAAGGTGTTGGCTGTGGGTAGTGTGTTTTTCGCGATTAAGGGTTTCAACTCCCACGCACATGCACGATAACATTTTAACCTTCCCAATTAGATGATGATTCCCCGTAATTTTCATGTCAATCAACGATAGGCATTAAGGCTAGGAGATAAAATATGCACCTCCAGAAGTAGCAGAAAAATTACTAAATCCTAGTAACGAAATAGCAATAGCCACATTAAATCATCTGAAACAAAACAAAAATTTAGCTATAAAAACACCTTAAATGATCTGTCTGGTGATGAAAAGATGCCCAGATGGGTGGATGTTTTGAAACCAAACCATCCATGTTGATGAATTAGTGGTTATCTCAATGGTGCATCTGGAAACGGTCAGTAGTTTTATATCTTTTTCTCTACGATTCATTACAAAACATGATTGAATTAGAAGGCAAAATTGAATTATTGGTGGCTCAAAAATATTGCCGGTTTTCGCGAATTTGTGGAATGCGTTGAGATCAAGTACAGGGTGAACGTGGATGCAACCCCGTACAGGTTGCTATTTAATCCACATGTGTGTTCTTTATTGTGCCTAAGCAAATAAATGTGGGGATATGTGCTCCGACTGGTTGTTCAACAGAAGCAAGTGCGTGGGTAAAATCTTTGAAAAATATGGAGGGAAATGCAGGATATAGATGAAATGACAATGATATGAAAATAAAGCAGAGTCGATAAACGGAATGGTAAAGCACTTTAAAGAACATGCTTCAAATGAAACGTAATTCTTCTGTGAAGTATAGAACGCTAACGAGGAGCTGATGAGCCTATATGAAATTCAAGTGTGTGGAAAATTTGCATTGAATTTTTAATATTTGACTAGAATATGCAAGACATGATATGACAGTGAAATATAACGCAGTGAGAGGGAAAGATAAAAAGTTGTGCTTAATTGCCTCAAATTTAGCTTGGAGGAGATGCTCATGTCCGGTGGTGAACTTGTGTTTAAATTGATGAC